CTCTCTCTCTCTCTCTCTCTCTCTCTCTCTCTCTCTCTCTCTCATGTCTCAAAATCTCTCTCTCAGAAGCGGAGCACACACGAAGATCGAAGTCGGCACAACAAAAATCCCCTTTGCAGCCAAGCCTACCGGGCACCTAATTCTTTGGTGAGCCTGTGTGTGTGCCAGTCCGCGCCAGTCCGCGCCCTTGTCGTGCCAGTGTGCTGTGAGAGAGACTTTTCGTAAGAATTCTTTTGTCCTCGCGGGAGACGGTGTACCTGTGTAGTTTTGCTTGAACTTGCGGATGAAGGCGTCGACGCCAGTCGTCGTGACGCACACGCCTCCCACTGCTCCCTTCTTCCCGATCTGCGTTGCTCTTCTCGTCGGCGGCTTTGTGTTCCTCACCGGCGCCGTCGGCTTCCTCTTCCTCCAGCAGGCACGGTCTCGTGCACTCCAGCCGCTCCTTCGGGCTGATTTCTCTCCCACCGATGCCTCTCTGTAAAACTCGCCTCTCATTCCACTCCGCCACTCAGGCCACCAGCGGCCACCACGCCGACTTTCAGCTCTCGGAGCTTCAGCGGCAGGTCTCAGATCCATGGCCTCGCTCGGCATAACAAACGGCGCCCTTCAAACCGCGCCGTGTGGACAGGTCGCCGAGCACCACCAGCTGCTGCACGCCCACATTGGACGCGGCTCGGAGCCGCCGCGAAAGCCTCCGAAGGTGCCGGGCTGCTTGCGATGGATCTTGGACTGATCTCGGACACTCTCGGACACTCTCGGACAACTCGACACAGAACTCGACAGGCGACGTCGAGCGCCGGCTTAGTTAGGACCTGGTCAACAGCATGCACCTTCGGGGAGAGCGCCGCACGCACAGTCGTCCGTACGCACCCTTCTCTCTCTCCCCTTGCACCTTCAACGCCGCGGGGAGTCTTGTCTCAGGGCGTGGAGTGCGGGTTGGGCTGGCCCTAGCCCCGCACCACTTCCTCGCCCCAACCACCTAGCGCGCCACCAAACAGACCACCCGTGTAGGGTTGGGGTTAGGGTCAGGGTCAGGGTCAGGGTTAGGGTTAGGGTGTGGACTCGCGCCTCGCCTTGCCCTGCAGGCTGGCGCCGAGGGGGAGGCCAAGCCGGCGGCCAAGCCGGCGGTTCGGGTGGCCAAGGGCGGGAAGGGCATGGGAAGGAAGCGGGGCAAGGGCAAGGGCAAGGCGAAAGGAAAGGGAGAGGAGGAGGAGGAGGAGGAGGAGGAGGGCGGCAGCGAGGGCGGCGGCAAGGGGGCGGAAGCCGCCGCGGGCGGCGGCGCGGGTGCGCAGGGCGCGGGGAGAGCGAAGCATCGCCCACTCACACCAGCCGTGAAGAGACGCTGTTCACAGGCGCGGCGAGAGGTAGTGGCGAGGCAGCCGAGGACAAGGCTGCGGCGGGCGAGGCGGCGGAGGAGGAGAAGGCGACGGCGTCAGAGCAGGGGGGAAGGGCGCGCGGTGTGTGGGCTGCGTCTAATCAGACCGCATTGGCGTGGACAGGCGGTGCAGCCCAAGAAGAGCGGCGGCGATGACGCCGAGGAGGTGCGCCGAGAGGAGCCGAGAGGAGCCGAGAGGAGCCGAGAGGAGTCGAGAGGAGCCGAGAGGAGCCGAGAGGAGCTGAGCGGAGCCGAGATACAGCCGAGATACAGTCGAGGGTAGACCGTGAGTGGTCGACGCGGGCGAGAGACGCGAGCTTCTCCTTCCTCGAGATTGTATCTCGGCTGTATCTCGGTTGTATCTCGGGCGAGAGACGAGCTGCTCCTTCCTCGAGATTGGCCTAGATGAGCCGAGGAGCGTCCAGATGACCCAGGACTAGTCGGGAGGAGAGAGGTGTGCACCGTGGCCTGCCCTCCCCCCGCTTCTCTCGGCGAAAGGGGCGATCTCGGCGATCTCCACGTAGGCGCCAAAGAAGGGGAAGCGGCGGAAAGCGAGGCGAGGGAAGGGGAGGGCGGAGTCGTGACGAGACACGGGCTACAAAGCTGCAATCGGTCTCTGCGTGCCATATGCGCCCAGTCTGTCGTGGGCATGGCCCTGAGTTTGTGCGCACCCACCGCCGCGTCCTGTCTCCTGCGCGTGGGGCGAGGTGTGCGCGCGCAAATGTCTAATTCCCTCGGTATGCTATATAGGTTTCGAACTGGGGCCCTCCTTCACAATCTCAGCTTTTCTTGCTGGGAGCCTTCTCGCCAGGCGAGAGGTCCCCGGCTCGAAACCTGTTCGACCCTTATATTCACACCTGAGTGGGCTCAATTTTGCTTAGGTGCACCTCCGAATTCGAAATCGTGTCCTCACGCTTAGCGCTTGGTGCTTGTTCGTTTTTCGTCACGGGTACTGGTGTAGAAGTAAAAATTACATGTATTCACTGATGGCAATCCCGCAACGGAGGGGCATGCGTGTGATGACCAAGATCCCTTGTGGTCGCTCCTCTTCAGATACTTCAGATAAACGCACAACCCCGGGCCCGAAATCGCACAGAGACAGTCACGCAACATGCCAAAAAGCCCCAATGTGGATGGCCAGTCCGCCGTTTTGCTCCCTAAAGTTTTGAGCTTTGACCTTTGTTGGCCACACCGCGCACACGTGTGTCACGTGTGGTGACTGGTGTCAGTCATCAGAGAGAGACCCAGGCGCCAGGGCCTGCGGGAGCGCCCCGCGCCCTGAAGCCCCTGACCGGTGACTTCGACCCTATCCAGTGCTCAAGTACTCAACTGAAGTGCCCCCCCCCCCCCCCCCACCCATCGAAAACAATAAAAAAAACCTCCTCTCAAAATTCAACCACTTTATTATCTAAAACAAATGTCACCACACCCGGACCACATGCCACTCTACACCCATATTCCCCTACTCCTTATTCTCTACTCTTAGCCACAACACACATCTTGATTTAAGATTACATCTCCTCTTGGAGCCGGTCACCTG